ATAAAGTAAATATGCCAAATTGATTAGTAAGGCTGTTAGTCTCAATTGACTAAGTTAGTTGGGACATATATCGCATATCCCCAACGGCTACTTTCCGTGATGCTAGTTTATGGGCAGATTGAAAGCTAGAGGTGGGACAAGCCAAAACGTGGGATCAGTTCATGGAGTCATGAATTTCTGGGTTAAGCCATATTGGTAGTTCTACACTACCAGGTTGGTGTTCTCGTAGTCAGTGAAGACTTTGGTTGACATGACTCACAATGGCGTTTAGGCATTCACTCTTTCTCTTCATCCTTTAGATTTTGAGTTTTTTTTATTAATTACCTCATACTCTTTACTCTGCGAATTCACTCATTTTGCTCGAATCATAGTGTTACGCCTAATATTTTCTGTCATCACACATGTACTGAGTTGATGATTAGGCAGTGGTTTAATGGTTAAGACGTTTGGCATTCACCATTTATGTAACAGGTTGGAGTCCTGATTTGCTTAATTCAGTTTCAACACGTACCACTAACCCTCACATATAAAGCGTGGTTTAAATCTGAGTAAATAAATTTGTACTTGGCAAGTAATTAACATCATTATCACCATTGAAGAATCAGATCGACCAGTGATGTAAGGCATTATATGGAATTTTGATTTTATATTTAACAGGACTTATCAGTATTACACATGTTTGAAATTTATATGAATTACGAAGCACTTTAATGTGACTACAAAAAGCAGAATTTCTGAAAATATGCTAATGCACAATTTGATGAAATCTGAAATTAATTAAAGGAATATAGAACGAAATTCTAAGTTTCGCATATCACGCAAATACCCTAAACATAATCTAGGGCGATTGCTTCAACATGTAGATTAAGATTTACACTAATTGAGTAGACCTATCTGATACAATATAACAAAATGTGTTATATCCTAGGGAGAATTAAATTACAAGTAACTTCTGCGATCTATTAATGGACTAATATCATCTACATATTCTTAGTGGTATAACTATTCAGTAATTAGATTATATATATGTATATTCACCTTATTATAAGCTTCATTTTGACATATAGATTATTATTGTACGATTTACTGTTCTTAAGTTATGTTCAGTTTATTGATTACAGTTTCCCACGTTCACAGCCACTTTTGGCTCTATTTTGTATAAGTATTATTTCCCATTTTATGGTGCGATGTGGCCTGTTTGGCTGGTATATAGACCAAGCATGTTTGAAATAAATGATTCGCATAGTGGGAGCTGTTATTGGTGTTCTGGACTCAACTGGACGGGCTAGGCTGATCATACCGGTCGAATGTCATTGGTCTTAATACAGTACAAGAGTGAATAAGTCGAATTTCGATTGGCGAATAAATTACGTGATAACTAGCCGAACTTAAATTGACAACAAAATGATTCATGTTCAGTGAAAACATGACTGAGTTTTACTGTCTAGTGATCGATATTTGAGAAAACGGTGTAAATAAAACGTTTTATCTAACACAGATTTTGTGCATTTGTGTCATTTGGAAATTGAGCTCTTATCACTTTTACATTTCTTCCGGAATCTAGCGGTTACAAGTTCAAAACCTATTCTAACCTCTTAAATTTTGTAATGTGGAGTAATATTATGACTTTCAAACGAAAAAAGTATCACAACCATTAACTAAACTTACATTGTACTCGTCATTCCCATTTTGCATATCACAAATCAATTATACCATACTAAACCTGACTTTACGTAGTCTTTTCGATTTTTTTTAAGTGCTGGAGTTGGTCGAACTGGAACATTTATTAGTGCTCTTATTGTTCGCAGACATCTTCGATCTGGCTGTCAATGGATTAGTTTACCAAGTATTGTTTTAATGCTGAGACTCTGGCGCCACTGTATGGTTGAATTGACAGTGAGTTTCTGCAGCTGATTTACTGATATGACTCATTTAAAGCAAACATCAGTATAAACACAAACTTTTAAACTGAGGAGGTTGAATTTTTCAGGGAAAATCAAACTTAAAAAAATAATGAGATGAGTTTGGTTATACTTAAATTCATTCAGATGTACAGGTTTCTAGGCTACGTTAAGAAGTAACAATATAAACAACCGGTTTCACTTTTGTATATGTGTACTGCAGAGACATATGTTGGAACTTACCTTACTAGCTAATTCAATTCATAATTTAGAAACATTATTGACAATAAAAGCGAGAAAGTCACATTTTCAATTCACGTCAACACTAATCATAGATCATCTATGCTAAGATTTGCACTGACGTGTTGTAAAACAAACAGGATATTTCACAGAATAATAGACTTTTACAAAACATCTCAGTAAAACCATAGTCAAACTAGAGATACGCCCTATCAGGATATTAATCGGTGCTTTAATATAGTCTCAAAGTTTTTTTCAAAATCCCTCATTAAATTTAGTCTACGGTAGTATTTGTACTGATAAGCTTAAAGCATTATTTACTTAAACAATGATGGATCAGTCGAATGAAATCCTCGATGCAACTCGGAATAAATCTTAGGTACGAAAATTCATAGTTTTTCTACTTTTTTATGCCTTAATTTTCTTGAATAATTCCGGACCTATGTACACAGTTCTGTTTAGTGAAGACGCTGAAAAAACTGGGCATTCTGACCACCTTACAGTAACAATGCAAGCATGTTTAGGATGCGATTTTTCCATCTGAATAAAAAATTTTTGTTCCAGGACTGGTATGCGTCAGTGCCTGAACTAAAGATATGGAGTGAAGCAAATGAGCTCGTCGATCACTTATCTTGGACGCCTCACCAGCCCTAGTAGGTTAGTGTCTGACCAAATCTCACGACGGGTTCAGTAAGCTCGCTTGGGTTTTGTCAACTCGCATTACCTATGGCGTAGGCGATATGTCTATCTACCGGTCAAGGGACGAGTATACTGCACAGTAGCTCGTTTTATTTTAATTTATATCTAAAAAAAAGGTTACTAGTAATTAATCTTTAGTTGGTTTGGAAGCATTACTCGACTGATCAATTAAGAAGTTCGATTTAACATTGTCTCATAAGTAGTCATATAAAAGAAATCTCTAAAAATGATTTATATACTACACTAACCAGTTAGTTGTTTTAGTATCGATAAAAGTAAGTATGAAGGAGAATGAAATGATTTTGATGAAGTTTTGTTTTCTGAGCTGGATAGTTTGGTCTTGGAGCTTTCATCGTTCTTCTGAACGATATCATCAGCACAAACTTCAGGTAGAAATGAATGGAATAAAACTTCAATACTGATAATGACATTCTTTTTACTTTTAAGGAACAATATCTATTTCTACATGAATATTTCGCATATATTTTGAATCGAGAAAGATATTGCTAACATAAAATTCTAACCAACTAATTGAGGAATGATTATTATATGTATTAAACAACAAACGATGAATATACTATTGTCCAAGTATGAACTGGTCAGTCAGTCAGTAACAACGTAGAACTGGTAACAACAACGTATGAACTGGTAATTTCAACTGGTTACATTGATTACATCTTCCCACGTTAAAAACAAGCCATTCTGTATTGATCAAGGTTTTATTTTTCAAAATATTCATTACAAGTTTTTGTATATAATTTAATTCTTACATTTATTATTGTTTACAATATACAGTATGTTGTTTTAAAAACGAAATACTTTTTTTAGTTTGAAGAAGTTTTACTATACAAAACAACTGATTCACATTCAGTGAACTGAATAAAAACCCAACTTAGCATCAATAAGATGTGGGGTTATATTTCTAGATGGTCTGTTTGTGGTCAAAGTTTATCTTCAAAGATTTTTTTGCTTACAGAATGATGTATTGATATACCTATCGACTCACAACAATAGTTGTACTTCTCAACCTTGATGTACCATTTGATTCTGTAGACCGATAGGTTGTATGGAAGTTTATGTCATTGAAAGACCTACTGAAGAAATACATCAATCATTTTACAGGCCCTCTATTCAAACAGTACCGATTGAGTTAGAGCCTATGGCGAACGATCATTAGAATTGTCAAACTCAAGAAGTGTTCGTCAGGGTTGTCTGCTTTCCTCATTTTTATCCAGATTTGTCATAGGAATTTTCTAGAGATAAAATTCACCGTCCGATTTATCAGGGACTGATTTACTAGAAAACTCTATTGTTAACTTAGAATACGCAGATAATGCAGTTTCATTCCGTGAAGACGCTGAAAAGCGTTTTGACCGCCTTAACCAAGAATCCTAGCATGTTTGGGATGCGTTTCTCTCCCTCCAGACGCAAAATATTGTTTTAGGACCGGTATGCGTCAATGCCTGAACTAAGGATACGGAGTAAAGAAGTTGGGTCCGTCTGTCACTTCACTTATTTTGGAAATCTCATCACCTTAAGTGGGTTGGTGCATGACGAGATCTTGAGATAAATTCAGAAATTTCGATTGGCTTTTGCCAAATTATGCCACTTGCTGTATATATGAGATATTCGTTCGCCAACTAAAGGTCTCATTGTGCAGCAGTTCGCTCTATATTATTTTACGGGTGTGAAATATGGCTATTAAGAATAGAGGATATTCGTAGATAACTAGTATTCGGCTATGAGTGTTTTCAAAACACTGTTGGCGCGTTTTGGGACTAGTGGGTAAGCAAAGCCGGGATTCGGAAAGGGGTACTAGGTAGGTATGCCAAACAAATTGACAATGTAATGAATCTTTGTCAGTCGAAACATGTGTCACATATGCTCATCCACCGACCACCTTGAAGCGCGAGGATAGCTGATGTATTAGGTTGGAATAAATCTAGATGCAGCCAAATCGACATGGCATCACTCCATGAAGATACTAACTGTTAGACTGAGCCATATTAACAAGCGTAGACTACCTCGATGGGGTCCGCATGATTATCGTAACCAGATGGAAGAGAACGTAATTGTCTTAAAGTTAGCTATAATTCATATTTATTCGGAATACTGTTTTAAATGAGAATTTGAATCTGTCATTACAAACACAAGCATGAGGGAATCGAAAATCCAGTGTTATATTGATAAATGAACAAATCAACAAAGTAACATACACTTTTTGGTTATACACACATTAATGACTGAGAAATGAGCGGTTAGTAGAACGTATTGTAAAACACCTAACTTCTGGTATATCTTTTTAACGTAAACTAACGCTGAAATCAACTGGTCTTCTAGATTGAACGCTACCAGATGAACTAACGTTGAACAAAGCTTTGCGAACAACATCTGCGTCTACTTCGACCGGAATGCCTGATTTGTCCAGAGACTCACGAATAACTTGTTTAGCCTGCGTTTCAGTTTGTTTCCTGAGAAGTTAATTACAAAGAAATATGGAGAATGATAACTAAATAAATATAGGGAAATAATATACATCTATTAACGATTTCTGATTTGCAGAATATACAAGCATATAACAAAGTGTATAGAAAAAAAATTCAAGATTACAAAACATTAATGGATTAACCTTCCATAATTTGGTCCGAGTCTTGAGGCCATGCGAGCAGAAGTGTCACGTTCACTGGGTAAATCACTAACTGGTGTAGTAAGGCTTACACGCATTGGACGGCCATCTAGTTCACGACCATTATAACGTTCAATAGCTTCAAGCGCATCTGAAGAATGATTATAAATTACTTCTGCTTGGCCAGGACGTGTAACAGTACACAGACGTAAACTCCCAACGCTGCTAAATAGCTCCTATAAGAAAAAGGAGTATCAAGTTAATTTTTATATTTGGATAAAATATTCATATTCTATAACTAGTACTGCTTACTTTAACGAATGATTAAAAGGGCATAAAATAATGCTATTTTGGCTTCCTCATCAAATAGCAGAAAAAGTGTGGCAACACATAAAAAGAGCAGTGTAATGAGTTGCTTGATCTTTAAGAAGACAGACATTTGTTGGCTTAAAGTACGTCGTCACATATGCTGCTCAAGTATATATATATAAGTAGTGTCACAGGAATAGAAGGTGGAATGCTTACTAACAGAAGATAGATATGAAGAGAACAGGAAGGAGAACGGAGAGCATCGTAATAACAACAGAATCATAATGATGGAGTATGCAAAGGATAACTGAAGGAAGATGGGCAAATGATGTATTTAATGTATGATTTTCATGCTTCACAAAGGTACTGCGATTCGGCACAAAATAATATAGTGGTTTTTCCACCATGTCTTACTTTACAAATAAAGTGACTTGTGTGGTGCATATGTATTCAGTGCCTATTTGTACCAGTATTTATGTGTTCAAATAAATAAATGTTCACTACAGTAATATCCATGTTGGTAAATGTAAATGATACACGTGAAAATCGTAGTCGGTGGGTGAAGATGTGAGTGACACGCCTCAGAATCGGTCACGATGGTCCAGACTCACTTACTTAATATCTCGCCCTGTATTCGCAGTCCCAAAAATTCATGTACACCTCTTCATTGTCTTTCTGAATCATATTCTTAATGTCTAGCTTTTCTTATTATCATTGCTACTGGGTTATTTTGATTCCTTTGTTATTAGTCTTGTTAACTTTCTCGTTGTGCTTATGAAGTATGGGAACTTTAGCCGATGCACTTATATAGCAGTCTCAACGTTGATTATGACTGTCCATCAGTATAGAGTCTGGCACAGATGTGCACTGACCCAAATTGTTATACCACAGTAACACAGAGAGACGAATGTAACAAGTATAGTCGCACGAGATCGAAATAATATAATAACAATAATAAGAAGAAAGAATAAACATAGGAAATATGGCTCAGAAAGATGGAGTGAAAAGGTAAATACAAAGGAACCCAAGATCGAGAGAAAGAGTGAATACATATTCACCATTGAGAACTATCCCGAGCTGTGACCGTGGTTAGTGAACGGTGAAAATACTAGAAGAATACTACGACGTAACGGGCATCCAGTGCTTCCAGGTTTCCAATAGTTGTCTAACTTGGAAAGGTTTGTGATCCCAATAAAAACACACTAAAATACTTTGTACTTTCAAACCTAAAATACAAAACTGGTTTTTTCACCGTGAAATTCAACAATTGATAGCGAGGCAATTCCGGAAGCCGGTCACTCTACTCACTCTTTAAGCTTTATTACCTCCGATGACTTGGTGGCTGAAAAAATCTCGACACGGATTTGAAAACCTCCCCAGGCTTTTGTCAGTATGCACCACCTGTAAGAGAGGCGAAATGTTCATCTGTTTTCCAGAGTATACGGAGCGGTAGTTAATTCTGTAACACTTTATGACAGTTAAATAGTGTATATTTAGGTTGAATACACGGGTAGGTAGTTATATGTTGAAGATAGACGGCTTCTTAGGATTCGTAGTGCATAATGGCATGACTGAATGAACAATGATGCAGCTGAGATTACTACGTAAGGATGGCAAATCATTTGATGAGGCTATCAAATTTCTTCGACTAAAGGATTTGGGACATTTGATAAGCATACCTAGTCACCTGGTAGCTGATTCGTTGGGGGTGGAAATAGGCTGGATAAATGCTAAAAGTGGGCAAAACAAAATATGTTTTGAGTCGTAAAGTGTTTTTGAGATAGTAGGAATTCAGAAATCAGACTGACCACAATGGCAAAGATGCATTCACGAATGAAAACGTGAGAAGCATGCACCTTGGGAGAAGTTTCATGCTATATGTGTTTGAAATACACAGTATTATCTTTGTATAAATATAAAGTTATTTATTTAACAGTTCGGAAACATGGGGTTTTAAGATTATACAGCATTATATATTTATAACGGTCACCTTTTCTGTATTCTTCAGAATTATCATGATCTGATGTTTTGCTTTCCCCGGATCATTTCAACTAAGGAATAAGTCTGTCGTCTTCATAAACTGTTTGTTTTCTTACTTGCGTCGTGCGATTCACGGGATCAAGTAGTCAGTATCAATTATCTGCCGTTACAACTGACAGAATTGCCTATAACTTCATAACTGTTCAGGTGTTTTTGGAGGGTGAAATAAATCCCTTTCTGCGCTTAGTTGTGTCGTGTGAATTGCCATAATTTAATTTCAAGTGCTAAATTAGTCCTTAAAGTTACAACAGTTCAACAAACGCTTGATTTTAGGAAAAGTCAAGAGCTGTGAATAAACACTAAAAATTCATGAATCTCAAATGATAAATGGAAGTTTATTATTACTTTAAATAATATTAGTTATGATCAAGTCAAAAATCATGTCTATCACGTCATAAAGATAATTATAACTTCTGCAATACCCCAAGACCACCACATGTAACTAACTAGATTATAAAACAACGAAATATAACTTACGAATACATCATCTAGCGTGACGGACGGCTGAAGGTTACGAATTTCCACACGGAAACCTTGTATTGGACTAATCTTAGGTCCTGATGAAGAAGCAGACACTGGAACTTCATTGAACGGTAACAAGTTAGCAAATAACCCAGTAGTGGGTGTAGGGTTATTAAGAAAATCAAGAGGATTAGGAAGAGGCAACGGTAAGCTCAGCAGATCAGGAATACCTGGACGAAGAGATGCTGGACGTGGTTTTCGCTGAAACATAAAAAAAATTTATGAATAGAAATCTCATAAGGACAAAACAAAACAACTTTTCACTGAACTAAATGATGTATTTTGACGTCATACCCACGTACTGAATCATTAAAAACATGGTTCTTTGTTTTTAATTTTAATAAACGCAAAATGTATTAACCTTCATATATATACCAAAGGTACTTTAAACTTCACGTTTCAAACTAGTTTCCATTGGCAAATATTAAATAACTTATATTTCTTAATAAACTGAAATAAAAGAAGTGAAATTACAACACTCAATTGCAGAAATTTAAGTTACGAAGGATTATGAAGTTCAATATCAACTTACTGCATTTCGTAGACTGTTTATTTGACCTCCAAAAAGTTCATTTTTAATCTACAGAAAAAAGAAGCTAGCTCAAGTGAAGTTATATGAAAGAAAATCAAGTTTATTAATATGAACACGAAACAAAACAGACGTTAACAAAAAGTAAAACATAAAAAGTTGCACTCATAGCCAAAAAAATATTACATCGGACGAAATGGGTGCTCCTTTGGGCTACGCGTACATGAACATTGATTAGCATTTAGGCGACATGATATTTTATCACTGATATCAGTATATTAAGATAATCCTGGGCCAGGGAAACTGCAAGATCCTTAAAGAATTTCTAGGAGTGACATGTATATCGATTGTCAATCAGCCACAAGAATAGATATCAACCAATACAGTCAGCGTGAATATAAAGATAAATGAAGACAATAAAATGTACCAAGACGGTCAGTCAAAAATAAGGCCAACAAAATAAGTGGTATAAAACTTATGGAATAACTGAAATGTGCGCTGAAAACGTTTAGGATAATAATAAAATCTCTTCAGTTAAACCATCCAGCCACGAAAACACAACACTAAAAATATTCAACCAAGTTGTAGTTTATTTTCGGCCTATACGAACATATGTAGAGGCGTGGATCTTCAATCAAAGCAATTCGCAAGCATATGAAGTTAACTATCACATTTAAAGGATATCAAAGTGTAGATGTCATTATTTACCAAAAGATTTTTAACTAAACACATAAATGTACTCTTTGCTAAGTAAGCCATAACTTACGTAGAATTTAGCACAAATTTTTATTGGTCGAGTTTTTGAATCACAGTGCAGTGAGAGGAAGTTAACAAGATACATAACGGAGAAATGATAGTGGTACCAATAATGATTAGAAAACTAAACTTGGAGGACAGTTCGAAAATGAAATAAATAAGGGAATAAAAAGTCCGGAACAATTTCAAAACTCATGGAGGTCACGATAGAGAAAGTTGTTTGGACCACTGCAACTGAGGTTAAGCCATGTCACCCCAAGTCTTCAACAACTGTATATGATTATCGCCGGACCCCAACCAAAGTTTACACAGGCTAACCAATACGCTTCATAAACTATTAATGGTAATTGACTGTTTATGAAATTGAGAGGACGAAAAGCGAATGTCCGGAGCTTTAACCGTACTGATAGGTTTCGGAGGGTCCACCTGGGAGTTGGAAAACCCTTATTCCAAACCAATGGTGCACATGGGTTTCAGTATCCTGAAGGAACAAACAGTGTACGAACCTATTGTCGGCCGCCGGCTAGCATGGGACCACATCTAACGTTGCTCTACTGCCTTGTGGATCAGACCTCTAGGTCAAAGGTTCGGGAAGTGTCCCCCTAAGAAAACCACCTGACCCGGTTTGGGCACCTGGACAGTATCCCAACTCACACAAATCTAATGATTTTTGTGGCGGATATATATATATATATATATATGGTTCCTCCTTGCACTGATGTTTGTGTTTAGACAAAATAAAAAACAATATATCATATAGTTTAGGTTATTGCAATTAATGAGTCATTAAATTTATGGAGCGAATCAAAGGTTTCTAAGTTGTCCCATGAATTATTCTTACTGAGATCATAAGCAATGAGATTCCTGATTGAAAACACTTAAAACTGACAATGGACTGTTAAATAATGGGACTCATATTAATATTTACTGTGAAGCACCATATGCCTGTTGAAAACAAGAATAAATTACAGGTCTTTTAAACTTGATTAATTCTATTACGGCCCAAGTAATACAATCACAACAAGGCAGATTGTATAATGAACAAATCAGAATGTATGAATATGACTGGTGGGAATGATACTATGTTATTAGGATGAATGACATAGCCAAGCAATAAAATTCGCAAATTAGTATTGACAGTTAACATAGTGTAAGGATAATGGCGTGAAAACATTACAGAGTAAAGCTGGTTAGAATTAAAAAGCGGTTTTCGATTTTTTAACGAAGTTTGATAATAAATTACATTTGTCGTACATCACACGATAAGCTCCGTATAAATATTGCTGCACAGTATTCGAAGAGTCCAAAGTTGTCGGGAAAAAACCCTTCTTCACCAAAAAGTGGAAGACAGCACAATGGCTAATCAAACAACCCACATCTCCGGAGGTAAATAAGTAACAACAGTTAATAGCGTGTAAATAATTAATTTATCGCGATTTCTAAACATGACTTCCATATATTTTAGTTTCATCATTCTATCTTGTTTACTGTTCAGCTAATTTGTTAGTGAAGTTTGTGGGTTATAAGGAATTTTTGTGAATCTACTTACGATAACGAAAAATAATACATGAATAAATGTTTTGTATAGACATAACTCAGGTGTTATAATCGAACTGATAACAAACCTTAGACCTGGATTCTCTAGAGAAGACAATTACACAGGTTTAGTACCTTTTCTGGCAAAATACTTATGATTTAAGTCGACTCTCCTAATTAGCTGAAAACTGAGTTCTAGTGTAATTATTTTCATCGAAGCTCTTGGCTCCACTACATAGTAATTACACCATGATAACTATCTAACCCCTTTGGCATTTATACCACTATCAGTATCATAAAATTAGGTTCTTGCCAATAAAGGCACGTGCTCTAGAGAAGTGAGGAAACAACAACGGGAATACGTTACTTAAGCATACTTAAGTTAGAATTACATACCGTTCTTATGGGAATGAAGAACGGGACTCGAGGGTTTCGGCGTGGATGAGGTACATTCCTCGACCTCAAGACATTTCTAGCGTCACGAAATGTCGAGTTACGTTGACGAGTACGGTTGCGAAGCAACGTCCGTGCATCAGGTGTCCGTACAGTAAGATTAAGCTTGTTTCTGAGATCGTTTCGACCGTTGACTGCTGACGTATTAGTCTTTCCTAGTCGTCTTCTAGGATTCCGATGTATAACATTATTTAGGACACTTACTTTACGGAGACTTGTCTAAGTCGCCTCTCAAACGTAGCGTTCATCGTTAAAATAAAGACACAATGCACCCAAACAAAAAGATTAACTGTGTTCTTTTGTGGACCTTTTGGGAATCTTAGAATAGCGAGTTGTTAAAAACATTTATTTATATGATAAACTAGTTACATACTTATAGTGCTATGAGGCTACCGTGTAAAAACAACGAGCATTTCCATCAGATTACTGTCATTTATAGTAGGAAGGACACAACCTGTACTTTTGAATTTAGATCTTCACCAAGAGTTTGACAATTTCCTCAGTGAATTGGTGTGGTTACCGAAATTATATGAGTTGTAGGAATGTGGCCCTTGTTTTACCAATCCTCACTGTTACGTCTGGATTGGATCCTCCATGTTCATCGATGATACTTCTCAGGCATGTGAAAGATTTCACATCTGTCAGAGCCTCTTCATCAAATATGATTAGGTTGGTTGGTGTTCTGTGTTAAATGTTGTTAAATGCCCTCTTTTTGTTTTTTCTATTCTTGAATCTTATCCAGGGTTTCCATAGAGATCCATCCCTTATAATGATGCTTATAGCGGACAAGCCCCTCCTGAGATGTTGAAGTTAATGTTTCTTTGATACCCTTCTAGTTGTCTTCTATAATAGTTTCTTCTTCTTTCAGTATATCCTGTACGGTTTGGAACCTGTTGTTGAGAGTTATATTGATTTCTTCAATTGGTATTTCGTAGTAGTTAGTATTTCATAGGAGGGCTCTATTGAACATTTATAATACTGTTTACCCAGCTGTTCAATGTTCCTTTAGCTTCACTTTCATCTTGATCACATTCAGATGGTGGTCAGAAGGTATGTCAGCTCCTCTCCTGGTTCTCACATCTTCCGTTGAGCTCCTGGATTGTTTATTGATACAAATATGATCTATCTGGTTCTCCATAGTGTGGTTCGGTGAGATCCATGTAGGAAGCAATTTCCTACAGGTGTAACTGTAAGCTATTCTCTACACTATCGAGTACAGAGTCTTGGCTTAGCCAAAGTCGGAACAAATAAGCTATTTTGCTTGATAAATTGTATCTGTTTCGAAAACATAAGTTAACACCGTTAGTATACAAAATAAACGGTACGGTCTACTGAATAGGGAAAAGGAGAGACATAAATAACATACCGAGCAGTAACTAGAGGATAGGAAAAATGAGTCAACAAGGCGAATATTGTTTTATTACTAACATAAAATTGTGATTGGTGAATAAACAAGAAGTAGTCATACAAAGTCAAAGAAAGTTAATGTGGTGGTAGGTGTTTCACTTTATCATTGGTGAGTTTGTTTATCGATCACACTTTACAATCCATATAGTTTTGTTTATGCGTTTGTGTGGGAATAATATGCCATCTACATCCGAGTTGTTGAATGCACATAGGTTCACAAATCCCTCACAATTTTCGTTTCTCTCCACCAGTCCATGACGTCCCATGATATTTTCATATCCGGTGTTGTCCATTCGAATTTTCGCGTCTAGATATGATCTGATGATCCTGGATCCATGAACCTCTCATCCTATAAGTACATTTCTTGTTTCACTTGACGACGTAAGAGCAACTCCCTGAGTGTGTAGAGCATTTTCCTCTTCGTGATCGGAGTACAGCAGCATTCTTCCCATATCTAGCCTGGATCCAATGGGTTTCGCTGATTCCGAATACTGCCAACTTGTATTTCCTCATTTCAAAATCTATTTGACTGGTATCTCCGTTCTCCCACATTGTTCGAAAGTTCCATGTACCTATGTCGATTGTTGACCTTGTTGTTAGAAAGTCCATTGTTCTCGCGACTTCTGAACAATCTTGGCTTTCATCCCGAGGCGTCATAAATCTTATTTCAACTCGGAGGGCAGATTTTAAGTGGTCTAATTTGTTTGTTCTGGTCGGCGTTTTTTCAGCAAGGTTGTTTTCTACGGGATGTGGTTGCCGGCCCTATGCACAACCCTATTCCTTCACCCAGGCTTGTTACTGGAAGTAACCCAGGAGGAGCTACGGGCGGAGTTCTTATAAATAATACGCTTCGATAGCTCTTCTGTGCTACATTCAGCTGAAGATGACACGTGTTATCTCAAATTTATCAGGCTATAAACTCTGCGTAAAGTGATTTCGTGCATCTTCAAGGCATCTGAACGATGTCTGAAATGAACAAATTTCACGATGTATTATTGGAAAGTAACACTAACTAAACAAAGGTAGAGCGTACAGAAGCAATAGTAAGTGATCGAAGCAACTTGCATATGGGACGAGTAAATAGCTGCCTGATGGGTAAACAAAGAAACTTTGCAAGGTAGAATTCTCCGAATAAATTGCTCGTTGAGATAAAACATATTGGTTAACGACCGATTCGTAGAATGAATTATTCCCGGCAAGTAAGAGGTGGCAAGCAGTTTTCTTTGCAATGACTCTCCATGCCTTTATAATCGACAAAAATTTCCCATCTGACGCAATACTTGGGGCACTGTAATGTCCATCGAAAACGTAAACATAAACAACCCAATTTTCCCAAATCCAGTGGAACGGTGATTTATAAAGAAAAAGCCATGGAAATCCCCATTATTTTCGCTGAGATTGAATTATTTTGAAAGCCAAACACTATGTTTGTCTATGATTTGCAAAAGTGTATTTATTTCCTCATGTGGAACCACAAATGTTGACATTCTGCGGGATTCAGACCCACAATTTCTGGAGAATGTCTAGAGAATTAATGCTCAACAGACTGATAATGGGAATAGAAATTCTGTTTTGGACAACTTTCATCAGTGTTAAAGCTTAGTTGTCTACTAGTAACTCTGAATAAAAGTCAGATAAAGTCACTCTTATAATTCTACATTCCAAAGTTCACTACATTGGGCGAAGTAAAATAGATATACCGACGAACAAAGTATTTATAAGTAGGGACGAACGGTGGCTAGCAGTCTATTACTCTCATTTCATCAACTTAAAGTTCCCAAATCTAGTCAAATTAGAAGTTGGTAGCGAAGGAGTTCGAAGGTAAATTTGGAAGGTATTCAATACTTCGAAAAGCGTTTGGCCTGAGCTGACTAGTTGTTGTGAGTGATGCGTAGCATAATGTGAGGATGCGTGACCGAGGGTGTACTTAGTAAGAAGAAAGACATCAGGATCAATTTCAAAGACTTACAGTACGGTTTATTTTAAGAATTGATTGACCGTAACACACTCACAAGGTATACGAAGAAATTTATCTCAACCTAGAAATCAATTTATAGTCGGTAATAGTGATGTACGAGCCAAACGAAATTATGGAAAATGTAGATGATGGCAAACTTCGCCTGTAGTCCCTCCGGGGGCTACTGCCCGTCCTAAGTCCGGATAAAGGAGGAGGGTTGGGCATGGGGTTAGCGACCCCATCCCGTAGAAAACTAACTCGCTAAAAAAACGCTAACCAGAAAAAATTACTCAAACCTTTTAGACTCTGCCCTGGGAGTCAGAAGGTCTTCATTTAGAAGAATTATGACGCCTCATGATGAAAGCCGAATTCCTTCGGAAGTTACGAGGCCGATGCCCCTTCTGACAACCAGAGCGACCATTTATTTAGGTACATGGAATGTTCGTACAACGTGGGACACCGAGAGAGCCTTCCAAATTGCTGCAGAAATGAGAAGATACAACCTAGAGGTACTTGGGATCAGTGAAACACATTATACACAAGTTGGACAACAACGACTAACTACAGGAGAGCTCCTGTTATACTCCGGCCATGAAGAAGAAAATGCACCACATACACAAGGAGTTGCATTGATGTTGTCCAAACAAGCGCAAAATGCACTTATAGGATGGGGATCTCATGGACCAAGGATCATCAAAGCCTCGTTCAAAACAAAGAAAGAGGGCATTTCAATGAACATCATCCAATGCTATGCGCCTACCAACGACTACAATGAAGACGCTAAAGATCAATTCTACGACAGGCTGCAGTCAGTCGTCGGGAAGTGCCCAACAAAGGACCTGACCATTCTGATGGGAGATTTCAATGCCAAGGTAGGAGTGGACAACACTGGATATGAAGACATCATGAGACGACACGGACTGGGAGAAAGGAACGAAAATGGTGAGAGATTTGCAAACCTATGTGCCTTCAATAAACTGGTCATAGGCGGCACCATATTCCCACATAAGCGCATTCGCAAAACCACATGGACTTCACCGGATCACACTACGCAGAACCAAATCGACCATATCTGCATCAACAAAAACTTCAGGAGGACGATGGAGGATGTGAGAACCAAGAGGTGAGCTGATATAGCCTCAGATCATCACTTGCTGGTCGCCAAGATGAAATTGAAACTAAAGAAGCACTGGACAATGGGGCGGACAACATCACAAAAGTTCAATACTGCCTTTCTTCAGAATACTAACAAACTCAACAAATTCAAGATAATCCTCAGCAACAAGTTCCAGGCCTTTCATGATCTACTCAATGGAAAAGGAACTACTGTGGAGAGCAACTGGAAGGGGATCAAAGAGGCAATCACTTCAACATGTCATGAGGTCCTGGGTCACAAGAAGCACCACCACAAGGAATGGATCACTGTTGATACACTGGATAAGATTCAAGAAAGGAGGAACAAGAAGGCAGCAATCAATACCAGTCGAACAAGAGCAGAAAAAGCCAAGACACAAGCTGAATACACGGAAATAAACAAACAAGTGAAGAGGAGCATCAGAACCGACAAACGTAAATATGTGGAAGATTTATCAATGGAGGAGGAAAAGGCTACAAGAGAAGGAAACATGAGACAACTGTATGACATAACAAAGAAACTCTCAGGAAATCACCGTAAACCAGAACGACCAGTGAAAAGCAAGGAAGGCAAGGTAATCACCAACATTGAAGAGCAACAAAACAGGTGGGTAGAACACTTCAAAGAACTCTTGAATCGATCAGCCCCAGTGAACACACCCAGTATCGAAGCAGCACCCACGGACCTCCCAATCAATGTTGGCCCACCAACAATTGAAGAAATCAGCATGGCCATCAGGAAAATCAAGA